TTCTAAAAGCTGTAGGGCTTCAAGAGCTGTAGAAGACGCACATAGACCGCACAGACGCACGGAAAATCTTTCATGCACACCACGCAGATCATCTCGGGATCACAAGGTGACGCCACGTGCAAAAACTGGTAACGACCGTTTCGATAACACGTGGAAGACACGCAGCTTTACGTAGAGCTAACTTCTCACCAATGATTCGATGTCGATGCGCAAGATTGCCTACTTGCAAGGCTGTTGATATTGTATTCTCACGTGGGATCGTGTCGCATTCAAGCTTGTTCGGACACCGTGATATGAGTTTGCAAGTGTTTTGGAGTACTCGTGCTCCTGTGAGTGTGTGCTAGTGCTTGAGATTTGTTGTATTGCATATTGTGTGTGTTTGTAGTTGTGTAGAGTGTGGTTGAGTTGCTGTACGTACGTATTTGATGTTTTGATGTGATAAGTTGTTGAATCAAGTTGGACGCGCCGTTGGTCTAATGGTTAGGATTCATCCCTTCCAAGGATGAGGTCGGGGGTTTGATTCCCCGACGGCGCAGTTTTTGCCAGCTGTCGATTCGTCTCTCCTTGTTTTATTAGCCGTCGCATACCTTACTTCATCCAGGCGTTCGTTACCCATGTGACGATCATATGGAGATGCAGATCCGATGTCATACGGAGATCATATGGAGACCTCCTAGGTGTCACCTAGCTCCGTGGTAAAGCAGACCGAGTGCAAACATTACTGCATTGCTATTTACTACCATGTGCTTGCCTGTACACCACGTGTAGCTGGAGCAGTTGAGAGAGTGATGCGTGATGCGCCGCTTCTTTTGGACACGCTGACGTACTGCATGCACGGTAGGTGCAATTTCAAACCATTGTGTTGCATTTGTGGTGTTTGTGGGCGTTGATTTTGTCAAAAGAAGGCTTTTGATTGATCGATGCGCCGTTGGTCTAATGGTTAGGATTCATCCCTCCCACGGATGAGGTCGGGGTTCGATTCCCCGACGGCGCACGTCTTCGTCAAAATATAGCCTATGGAAGGACATGGATGGCTGAGTTAGGGACGTGTTGCTTCGGAACCTATTTGTTGCTTCGGACCCCTTCTACTGCTCCAACACGTTCTGTCACTTATTGTCTTCTTTCATTTGCACCTCTTTTTTCTAAAAGCTGTAGGGCTTCAAGAGCTGTAGAAGACGCATATAGACCGCACAGACGCACGGAAAATCTTTCATGCACACCACGCAGATCATCTCGGGATCACAAGGTGACGCCACGTGCGAAAACTGGTAACGACCGTTTCGATAACACGTGGAAGACACGCAGCTTTACGTAGAGCTAACTTCTCACCAATGATTCGATGTCGATGCGCAAGATTGCCTACTTGCAAGGCTGTTGATATTGTATTCTCACGTGGGATCGTGTCGCATTCAAGCTTGTTCGGACACCGTGATATGAGTTTGCAAGTGTTTTGGAGTACTCGTGCTCCTGTGAGTGTGTGCTCGTGCTTGAGATTTGTTAAGCTAGTGCTTGAGATTTGTTGTATTGCATATTGTGTGTGTTTGTAGTTGTGTAGAGTGTGTGTGAGTTGCTGTACGTACGTATTTGATGTTTTGATGTGATAAGTTGTTGAATCAAGTTGGACGCGCCGTTGGTCTAATGGTTAGGATTCATCCCTTCCAAGGATGAGGTCGGGGTTCGATTCCCCGACGGCGCAGTTTTTGCCAGCTGTCGATTCGTCTCTCCTTGTTTTATTAGCCGTCGCATACCTTACTTCATCCAGGCGTTCGTTACCCATGTGACGATCATATGGAGATGCAGATCCGATGTCATACGGAGATCATATGGAGACCTCCTCGGTGTCACCTAGCTCCGTGGTAAAGCAGACCGAGTGCAAACATTACTGCATTGCTATTTACTACCATGTGCTTGCCTGTACACCACGTGTAGCTGGAGCAGTTGAGAGAGTGATGCGTGATGCGCCGCTTCTTTTGGACACGCTGACGTACTGCATGCACGGTAGGTGCAATTTCAAACCATTGTGTTGCATTTGTGGTGTTTGTGGGCGTTGATTTTGTCAAAAGAAGGCTTTTGATTGATCGATGCGCCGTTGGTCTAATGGTTAGGATTCATCCCTCCCACGGATGAGGTCGGGGGTTCGATTCCCCGACGGCGCACGTCTTCGTCAAAATATAGCCTAGGGAAGGACATGGATGGCTGAGTTAGGGACGTGTTGCTTCGGAACCTATTTGTTGCTTCGGACCCCTTCTACTGCTCCAACACGTTCTGTCACTTATTGTCTTCTTTCATTTGCACCTCTTTTTTCTAAAAGCTGTAGGGCTTCAAGAGCTGTAGAAGACGCACATAGACCGCACAGACGCACGGAAAATCTTTCATGCACACCACGCAGATCATCTCGGGATCACAAGGTGACGCCACGTGCGAAAACTGGTAACGACCGTTTCGATAACACGTGGAAGACACGCAGCTTTACGTAGAGCTAACTTCTCACCAATGATTCGATGTCGATGCGCAAGATTGCCTACTTGCAAGGCTGTTGATATTGTATTCTCACGTGGGATCGTGTCGCATTCAAGCTTGTTCGGACACCGTGATATGAGTTTGCAAGTGTTTTGGAGTACTCGTGCTCCTGTGAGTGTGTGCTAGTGCTTGAGATTTGTTGGTATTGCATATTGTGTGTGTTTGTAGTTGTGTAGAGTGTGGTTGAGTTGCTGTACGTACGTATTTGATGTTTTGATGTGATAAGTTGTTGAATCAAGTTGGACGCGCCGTTGGTCTAATGGTTAGGATTCATCCCTTCCAAGGATGAGGTCGGGGTTCGATTCCCCGACGGCGCAGTTTTTGCCAGCTGTCGATTCGTCTCTCCTTGTTTTATTAGCCGTCGCATACCTTACTTCATCCAGGCGTTCGTTACCCATGTGACGATCATATGGAGATGCAGATCCGATGTCATACGGAGATCATATGGAGACCTCCTAGGTGTCATCTAGCTCCGTGGTAAAGCAGACCGAGTGCAAACATTACTGCATTGCTATTTACTACCATGTGCTTGCCTGTACACCACGTGTAGCTGGAGCAGTTGAGAGAGTGATGCGTGATGCGCCGCTTCTTTTGGACACGCTGACGTACTGCATGCACGGTAGGTGCAATTTCAAACCATTGTGTTGCATTTGTGGTGTTTGTGGGCGTTGATTTTGTCAAAAGAAGGCTTTTGATTGATCGATGCGCCGTTGGTCTAATGGTTAGGATTCATCCCTCCCACGGATGAGGTCGGGGGTTCGATTCCCCGACGGCGCACGTCTTCGTCAAAATATAGCCTATGGAAGGACATGGCTGGCTGAGTTAGGGACGTGTTGCTTCGGAACCTATTTGTTGCTTCGGACCCCTTCTACTGCTCCAACACGTTCTGTCACTTATTGTCTTCTTTCATTTGCACCTCTTCTTTCTAAAAGCTGTAGGGCTTCAAGAGCTGTAGAAGACGCATATAGACCGCACAGACGCACGGAAAATCTTTCATGCACACCACGCAGATCATCTCGGGATCACAAGGTGACGCCACGTGCGAAAACTGGTAACGACCGTTTCGATAACACGTGGAAGACACGCAGCTTTACGTAGAGCTAACTTCTCACCAATGATTCGATGTCGATGCGCAAGATTGCCTACTTGCAAGGCTGTTGATATTGTATTCTCACGTGGGATCGTGTCGCATTCAAGCTTGTTCGGACACCGTGATATGAGTTTGCAAGTGTTTTGGAGTACTCGTGCTCCTGTGAGTGTGTGCTAGTGCTTGAGATTTGTTAAGCTAGTGGTTGAGATTTGTTGTATTGCATATTGTGTGTGTTTGTAGTTGTGTAGAGTGTGTGTGAGTTGCTGTACGTACGTATTTGATGTTTTGATGTGATAAGTTGTTGAATCAAGTTGGACGCGCCGTTGGTCTAATGGTTAGGATTCATCCCTTCCAAGGATGAGGTCGGGGTTCGATTCCCCGACGGCGCAGTTTTTGCCAGCTGTCGATTCGTCTCTCCTTGTTTTATTAGCCGTCGCATACCTTACTTCATCCAGGCGTTCGTTACCCATGTGACGATCATATGGAGATGCAGATCCGATGTCATACGGAGATCATATGGAGACCTCCTAGGTGTCATCTAGCTCCGTGGTAAAGCAGACCGAGTGCAAACATTACTGCATTGCTATTTACTACCATGTGCTTGCCTGTACACCACGTGTAGCTGGAGCAGTTGAGAGAGTGATGCGTGATGCGCCGCTTCTTTTGGACACGCTGACGTACTGCATGCACGATAGGTGCAATTTCAAACCATTGTGTTGCATTTGTAGTGTTTGTGGGCGTTGATTTTGTCAAAAGAAGGCTTTTGATTGATCGATGCGCCGTTGGTCTAATGGTTAGGATTCATCCCTCCCACGGATGAGGTCGGGGTACGATTCCCCGACGGCGCACGTCTTCGGCAAAATTCTGCCTACGGATGCTGGCCAGCTGAGTTAGGGACTTGTTGCTCTAGACCCCATTGCCGTTGCTTTTTATTCGGGCTAGTTCGGAATAAGGACGCAGGAAGTTGAGGAGCCACATTAGGTTTGATATCCCCCACATGGAAATAAATGGCATTTTGCACTTACGTTTGTGGTCATGACAGAAACTATGATATCGTTTCGAGCTAAGAATTATAAAGTTATCTAGTTTAAATGTCTGTTTGGCGTAGCAGAGGTTTGTATCGTGAATTGTTGTAAAAAAGACTACTTACCAAATGCAAGCAACCACTTCGAGCTGCATTTTAGAGAATCTGTTTACAGTTTCCACTTATTATATCTTGCAAAGAAACTGAAATATTCATCGATCTCATTGTTTTAATTTGTGTTTGGTGCATTAATATGCTTTCAAATTCGCAAACTCTTGAGTCAATATGAATACCGACTTCGTACGCCACTAAGTGTATTACCTAAATCTCGAAGTATGGGAGTCATGTGAAAGTTATGCTGACACGTTAACCAATCATCTGGACAGCATGTTCAAAAGCCAGCGTCACAATCGTGTCGCCTGTCATAAGAGCTGCGACAGCAAGCTGTGTCTAGAAACACATCAAATGCATTAGTGTGTACATTTCTTTTCGCACAAACTCAACAATTGAATCCCTACCTGTTTGTTCGGCATTGCCACCAACTCCAGCATTGAGTTGATAGGCGTAAACATCTCTCCAATAATTATTGCCAGCACAGCGTAGTTGAAGAGCGCGCTGCGATAAAGCAGCTTGTTTTTCCAAAATCCTTCCATAAATGGTTCTCCACAGTAGTTGGCCACAAAAGTGTTTACTTGCATAATCGAGGACATAAGAAACATGATACTGTTGACCACATTTGGTGTAAATTTCCCATCTGGATGCATTGCTGGGTCTCCAAGCTCGACAAAAGGTTGGGCCACGTGGAGAGCGGCCGCTAAAAATGCCAAATGAATCACAAATTGACCAAAGATCGACATCATCACGGACCTACAGAATACTCCTGACGGTGGACGCTGGTGTGAGAGCTTGCGCGCAGGTTTCGCTCGCGACATAAACAGAAAGAACATTGCGATGGACAGCTGCACACGAGTCACCACCAAATTAGCTTTGTTTTCAGCTTTTGCATATTTCAACACATGCACTTACCCCCGAAATTGTTAGTTGCTGATCGCCATTCTTCACACCGTGAACAAAGAGAGAGCTCAAATAGTACGCCGTCACAAGACAATTGATACCCAAAATCTTGTACATCTGGATCGTAATCACGAGCGTACATCGTCCTTGACGGATCAGCTTCTTCATTACACGAATGCTTGAGCTCTTCGACGTGAATGGTGACGCAATCGAAGCGTCTCCAACTCGCACAATCTGCGCATCATCACTGCGCAACTCATTCATAGTGTAACAAATACGTCCAAGCTGTCGCCGGTGGCGAAGACCTTCATGAGTTGCAACATTGCCGCTTCCTTTTCCAGTATCAACCACATGAGGATTACTCTCGAAACTTGTCGAGTTTACAACTGAAATGCCGATGTGAGCTTGTTTCAAGGCACCCACATCGTTAGTGCCATCGCCGCACATGGCAGTTATCTTACCACACCGATTCATTACCATAATAAGATATTCCTTCTGCTGAGGTGACGTTCGAGCGAAGACAGTGGTGCACAGGCATAATTTCTCAAGGACGGTAAGAAACGCCTCGAGCGCAGTCGCATGATCATTACACTTATCCTCCTGCTGCTTGAAAAGCATTGCCATGGCTTCACCCGTCACACACAGATTATATTGAACTTGCATCTTGCCAACTTCAGCAGCGCTGAAAGGAACAATGTCCTCCTCAATAGCAGTTGAGCCGTCGTCGATAGGCTTCCACTCAACTGATCCTGCTTGCACACTAGGCGTCAAAATCAACGGCTGTTTCGAATACCCCGCATTGATCCCCACTTGTCGGGCTACATCACAGGCAGTCAGAGGATTGTCACCCGTTACCATAACTACTTGATGCTTCGAAACCATCAGCTCCCGAATAGTTTGCTTTGTGTCAGTCTTCAGTGGACAATTCAGGATCAGGAACCCCGCAAATGTCAGCGAACTTTCTAACTCGCAACGTGGCTTCCGCCGCAACTCGTCCAACGAGATTTCCACGGGCAATACGCGGAAGCCCAGAGCCAAGACGCGACATCCTTTGGATGCATAATAGTGGTACACACGGCGGTAGTATGGCGGCTTGTTGGTAAAAATGGACTCGAGTACCTCAGGTGCACCTTTAGTAAGAACACGCTGCTCGTCTTGTTCATTATTATCAGCCTTTCGCACACATACAACTGTGGTCATGCGCTTAAGCTCCGAGAAAAAAGCAAAGCTGCGTAGGATAGTAACCTCTTGAATTTCCCCTCGGCGGCTAGAGTACAAAGATGGTTGGACGCTTGTTAGGCCCTCCGCTTCACCTTCGCGGCTTGTTAAGCACCAGTTAATGCTTCGAACGGCCGTCATCTCAAGCACGTCTCCAGCGACACGTCCGTGAAGCAGGACCAGTGATTGGCACCCTGCTAGTACCAATTCCGTATCAAGAGGTAGCTGCTCAGGTGCAATAATATCCAGTTCACCGCAATGCTTACTTCTCTCTTTATGCTTAACATGCGTTTCCAAGCCTGCTACACCATGCAACTTGAGTTCATCGCTTGTTAATGTGCCAGTCTTATCGAAACAGCAGATGTCAATTCGACCGGCAACAGGGATTCGAAATGGCTCGGTACAGAAAATGTTGCTCCTTGTCAGCGCAATCAGCGAGTTCGTTACTGCTAGTGACAGTTCCATAGGGAGCTCTGGTGGCACTACTGACGTGATGATCATAATACAGTGAAGGAACAGCTTAGACTGGTTGCGAGTCGGATCATTGAACCCCTGTACAAACACAAAGGCTGCTGCAGCTACCGCAAAGTTGAGCAAAAGAACGATAAACCACATTGCTTCGGAGTTGTTTGCTGTGACGCGCTGAGACGAATGCAAAATAGTGCGCATTAAACTTCCTTGAGTCGTGCCAAAGCCCGTTTTGAGAACAAACCCAACAGCACCTCCGTCAGGGGGTGCAGATACAGGCACCGTATCCTTCAAGAACGGAATTGTGTGTTGAAGAATCATAGTGCCACCATACAGCACGTGTCTCTTGTGTATCATACTAGTGCCATTGTCAATCTCAAGATTCTTGAGCATGTCCTCGTCGCTCACAATCGATGCTCCAACAGCTTCCTTGCGCAATGGAACGGACTCTCCAGAAAGCATTGACTCGTTGACAACGCAGCTTCCGCGGAGCAGCAACAAGTCACAAGGCACCACGTTGTCGTTTTCATTGTGGCCAACAGAGCAGATGTCACCAGGAACCAGATCGTCACTCAAGATCTGACTCCAGCGACCAGACCGATAGACCAGGCATAGCTGTGGTGGGCGCCGCATATGCAGCAGCGTGTCCATATTTTGCTGGCGCTGCTTGACTACCGTGCACTCAAAAGTTACGAGCATCAGCAGCGTTAGTAGTGAGTAGTACATGTACTCGTCGAGACACCAGAGCAGCATGCAGAAAAACTGAAAGACAAAGAACGGAGCCGCTAGCTGCTCCTTTAGCAGCTCAATAAATTTAGGTCTCGGTAATTCAAAGTCATTCTTGCCCCACTTCTTTCGAGCTTGCTGTAGCTCCTCCATCGACCTGACGCCTGTGTTTTGAAGATAAAACTCCAACGTTCTCGAGGACGGGAACTCAAGACGACGAACTTGTATACCACTGCTACAATTTATAGTGTCCATGTCCTTGTACAGATAAAATTTAAGGTTCTGATAGAAGAAATAGACTGCCAGTTGATCCTTAGACGTCGCCTTCTCTTCCTTGAGCACTACATGACAGTTGCATAGCTGTTTAGGTAAACTTGTGAGTGCCGGTTTTACCTTGACTAACATCTGGATACAGTCCTCCTTTATTATTGCGTTTAAACGTGAGCAAGACATCCAGCAACGAACATTCACATTCCATTCGGCACTTAGTAATGCCAACGCATGGCAAAAGACGCTAAAGGCACCAAGGACCCACGGGATTACGTCATCTACTGGTCCTAATGTATACAGATAGATACTTGTGACATAGAGGAAGAGAAAAGGTAGCACATCTAGTCGCATTGGCCATGGCAATGGCGTGTACAGCACGACCGATGTTAATTCCGAATCAATGACATCTAGAGTCATATCTCAAGGTCAAGTTGGACAATGCGACCTAGAACTTGATACTTTGATAATATAAAATACGATTATAGAAAGTATTAGAACAAACAGTTGATGCAAAGAATAAAGGTTTATTAATGTTGAAAAAAAAGACGCGTCAGATCATCGTAGTCTTGTATGTTTAGTATTTCGTCAGTTTGCAACGCAATAGAGCGAGGTCTGAATAACCAGAGAAACGATCATCACTCGATGTCTAATGAAGCAATTACTAAGTAGACGTCGATAGATATACTAGTGAACTTATTACATGCATACTGTGAGATTAGAGATGGTCGCGTACTCTTCTTCAGTACAATAGGTTGTCCTCATACAAATCAGACATACGCTTGTTTAAATTGACATCAGCAGAGAGCAACGAAACAGCAACCAGCTACGCACAGGCGGTCATTCACTTTCCTACAAAATGCTCGACTCGCTAAGTAATATGCACAATGTCGATGATAAAGCCTCAGCTGGTACCCGAAAAAGTTGCAATCGACATGAATTGGTCCGTTTAGTGCAATATCGTCACTGGCTTCTGCAGCTACTAGGATACTTCCTTCACCCACATAAATCAATATTGTGCAGCATCCTCGACAAAACTAGAATGACCTTGGCTATTATCATTCATCATTCATCAACGATATAGTGAACGATTGGTTGGTTGGCAGAGTCCAGTATATAATTGGCTATTAATCTATACTGACTAATGGATCGGTAATTTGAGGAAGCTATACCGATACAGTACCGGCTCATCAATAATCTGATTCGATCTGACTCGAGGCATTATTTAGATCGAAAAAAGAGTTCCGCATTTCCCCATCATCATAAAGCCCAGTGGCATGGGGCTGCCTCGTAGCAATGACAGCAGCGATATGGAGTTACAGCAGCTTAAACAGAAACTGGAACATTCTTTGTTCCTAGGTCATGATCTCGTGTCATTAGATGAAGGATTTGTACCACGTGGCCCTGAGACAAGAGGCTTTGAAATGGAACCACGTCCGAGTTCGTATTATGGCATCAATATCGAGGAAGAAGACGATGAAGATGACGATATGGATCGTTTAGAAATACCGAGTAATCGATATGCTGGTGTGATTTATGCAGCACGTTTCTTTGTGACACGGGTAGGTTTTCTTCGCTCAGCGAAGCGTCTTATGGTGCTCAGTAGTAATCATTTAACGATCGTTGATCCTTACTCTGATGAAGTTAAGGAACGTTATGCATTTGAAAATATCAAGGAAGTTACGATTGCTTCCGATAGTGGTGGCCATAATGCTGATCGAGCGTTTGTGATTTTTATTGGAAAAAATCTCAAGGAAACGTACACGTGTCGATGTAGACAACAATTATTGTCTGCATACTATCAGCTGAGAGAACGAGCTTCATCTGTTCGAAAAGAAGAGATTGAAGCAGCTACTGCAGATGCTCTCAGTGCTGTTGGAGCGAGTGTAGCTACAAATGATAACACGTGGGCTTCGAGCTCTGGAGGCCCCGCAGGAGCACGAGAAATCAACGCTAATTTTCTGGGCAGTGGCATGTACTTTGACAGTTTGTTTCAATTGTGTGGAAAAACGTTTACGATGGCGAAACTCAGCACGACACGAAGCATTGCAATTCATCCGGTTAAAGTCGACGTGCTGCTGGCCGTGCGAGCTGCTAGCTTAGATCGACTCGATCTGCAGACACGCGCCACACTATCGTCAATTTTACTGATTGACATCGTGAAGATTCAGCGAGTGAACACCAACTCAAACGAGCTTGTACTTTACTTTGAGAGCAATCGAGTGCATCGTTACTGGTGCGACAGTCGCGAGCCATTTATCCAAGCCATTGCCAATAATTTGCGTTCCTGGTTGAGCGTGTCACTCGTCGTAGAAGAGGTATTTGACTCGTGTGAGTTTGATGCACTCACGTCGACGCGGGACATCCCGCAACCCGTAACCTTCGAAATTCCTGTGTTAAAGATTAGCAAGAGCAAGACTAATAAGTTGCAGCTGCGGTTGCTTGGTCTAACCGCGTTAGCAATCATCGAGCGAGATCCAGTGACACGAAAGACAATGGCGAGCCATGCATTGAACGATATTTTTAACGTGGTGATTTACCCATCAGTGTCGTCTTCTCAAGAAGACCCTGATATTGAATCATCGGAGGGTTTGAATGGCAAATTTGCGCTCGAGTTGAAGCAAGGACTGACGCGTCGTTTTCTTTGTCTGAGCTCAACGGCAAGCAGGCGTGATAAAGATGTTAGTTTGGGACTGAAGCGGGTATCATCACAGCACGAGAATGAGCTTCGCCAGCTTATTGGAGACATTGCTGGAGATCTTACCGTACCAGAATGGCTGAAGGTTGCTGGTTCTACGACATTGCTTAGTCCAAAAGAGGCACGGAGTTTATTTTTAAGTAACGTGATTGAGATGTGCCGGATGAACAAGCTGCATGTTACCTGGTCAACAGAGGAAACGAAAATTGCATGTAAGGAAGGAACGTGGGGTACTGAGGTCCACCCTGAATGGGAAGACATTTTGTTACGCAAGCTGGTCAATTTGAATTTTATTCCAAACCTTGTAACGAACGAGAGTATGTCGCAAATTTACCACCAGTTGGTTCAGTTCAATCGCAATATTCCGTTGGGAGGTTTGCGTCAGCGCGATCGACGTGCGTTTGCAAGCCTGATGAAGTTGCTTGAGAATTTCAAGGAATACTCTGTGGCTCAGCTCAACAGTCCTTCTAACACGGACGCGCCGATCCCGACAACAGAGTTTCAAGTGGAGCTGTTGTTGGCTATCCAGCGTTTGCTTTGCACCCGTGGAGTCTTTGAGGAAGTCCCTAGTTCGCAGTACAAGAACAGTGTCGAGGTGATAATGGAATTGCTTCATTCCCCAATGGAGGAAGTAAGCTTTGCAGCAGCGTGTGTGATTAAGTATATGGTAGTCAACTATTCTGATACTCGCAGCTTAAAGTCCGAGACAGCCAACCGTCGCGCGACTTTTACAAAGTACCATAGCCGGATGTACGTGTCCCGTGCATTTGACCTGTCAAGAACAAATCGAGTGGGTCGCATGCCATTACATTCTACCGCAGCGGTAAAGTTTGGGTCCAGCCATGGATTATCGTCAGTAGCGGCAATGTCCAATACCGAACGCAGCATGGCGAATGCGCTAGCGTATTCTCAGCTTGGATTAGACTACCTTGTTCTTGCTATGGTCCTGCAGACACTTGAAGTTTGCCTATCTAGTGGAAAGAAGGCAACCCCAGAAAGAGTGGTCAAAGATTTGCTTCGTGCTATGCGGTTCGACGATTTTTCTCGTCATCACTCTCTGTTTTTGTTCAACCGATCATTGAGTTTCTCAATCACAAAATGCTCGTCGATTTTGGTGAAAGTCCATATTCTGGAGCAACCTACTGAGCTTGTTGAGCTAATTCAAGATTTTGCTAGGAAGCACGGCGCGCTTGTTTGGCAGCTTTACTTAGCACTGTATACCCAAGACAAAGCTCAGCGTCGGATCTCATCCCAACTGGTAGCATTGCTTACGCACGAAAACCCGCGATCATCGTACGTGATTCGCAATATTTTTCCACATGCGTTGCTGGATGACCAGAAAGTTACCCAACTTGAATATGACGAGTTTGGTCGACATCTACCAACAGCAAACACCGAGTTGTACACAAAAAGCAACGGTGTTTCGAATAAGAATGGTAGCCGCCGCGAAATCACCAATGCTACGGAAAACGGACACAGTAAAATAAGCTATGGAATCACCACTCGTGCTCGCTTGGCGCGAAACGCAAAGCATGCTGTGCTCTTGCCTGAATTCTTCGACCGCCTGGGTAAAACTCATGCGACCAAGGATCTTGTCTGGGGCCCTAACGCAGTTGAAGAATTGATTTGTAAGTTACAGGCCGAAATGAGCGCGCTGGACTTGTACCGTCTGAAATACTTGTGCTACCTGTACACGGACCCGCTTGCCACGGATCATGCGGAATCCGAATGGGACGCATACGAAGCATATCGATACCGCCGCGAACAGCAGCAAGCAAATTCTGCCCCATTTCTTTTCGAGTTCCTGCAAAATGGGTCTAAATGCCGATTGGCGATTGAAACAATGAAGGGGACAATCTCATCATCAAATCGATTCGCTAGGTTTATGCCTTTATCGTTCTTGCTGAATCCAGACACGTTTGACGACGTTGAGAGTGACAGTGGAATTGATGATGAAAATTATGACAGCGATGATAATTTTACTGATGAAAATGGGTTACTTTCTCGATCCAACAGTATTATACGTTCTGGTGATACCACAGAGCACAAACACGACGAACAAGACGGCCAAAGTGCTCGTAGTGCAAATTTGGCCAAAAAGAAAAAGAAAAGTGCAAAGAAAATGCCACGGTGGTTTGTGGCTTGGAATTGCAATGAATTTCGTGTCGACTATGAGTGTCTGGAAAGCGAAGTGAAAGTTGGACCGTATTATCTTGCAAATATTCTTGACGATCGTGGCGTCCTCGTGGAAGATATTGAGGGTGCAGAGAAGTTTATGACGCTGCTGTATTATCGCTTACTCGCTGAAGGCCGTGCCATTTCTGCCGACAAGCTTTTGAATAGAGGACGCTATTCTTCGGCAGATTCACTTGGCGACTTTGATCAGTCTGACATCCGCTTGCTGGTTCTAAAGGTTATGATTCAGCTATACGAGCGCCACTTCAACGAATTGGGTTCGCTAATGTTTCTTAATCACTTTCTTCGAGTGAGCATGATGAAAGGTAAACATGGCGAGGATCGACGTTGGCCACTCATTGTCCGTGGCAACATAATGCTGTTTCTGGATCGTGTTCTCTCCAGTGCACTAAATGTATCGCGGTTTTTACGTGAAAGTGACAACGTAAGAATGGTGTTGGATTTGCTTTGTGAAGTAAAACCGTTGGTCGTTCTCCAAGGGCCTAACGATGCTGACAAAGAGTATATTGTAGAACCTGCAGCGGATGTTCAGGCTGAATTTGATGCATTTGAGGATGAGAACGAAGACGAGAATGATGAAGAATACGCTGATGATAGAGGCGAGTGTGACGATGATGAAGATGACTTTGAGGATGAGCGGGATATAGCAAGGAGAATGATTGACGCATTGGAAGAGTCTAGTGCAGAGAGCTCTATCGTTTCGAGCCATTCCGTTTCTCCAACGTATGCAAACCGCGTTGACGATAGTGTACAGTTTGAAGAAAAATTCAGTCGTGTGACAGTTGTGGCAGAGCATTGCGGTGCAATGAGTGGGTCGATGATCATGCAGACTTGCTTAAGTGTTTTAAGCCGTCTCATCGATTGTCACACAGCGGAAGAAGAGGGACATATGTGCCAGGATGTGCGTTTTCCCAAATATGGACGACTGACGCACTTTGAAGGCTCAAGCGTAAGCCCAATCAGCTCCATCAAACAGCGGCTATGCGAGAATCAGACGCTACGATTTTTGGTGGGGCTTTTAGATTGTCCAAATCGCATTGTTTTCAAAAAGTGCCTCGGTTTGATTCGGCTTCTTGTCCGACACAACGAGGCGATAATTCCAAACCTTCACGCCTCGGGAATCTTCTACTACCTTCTTCGGTTTGCCCAAGATGTGGACGAAATGTCTATAGCGGCGCGTCTTATCTCTCATATTCATTTACGGCAATCAGGACTTGATGTTCCGCATCTTATAGATGATAAGCAAAAGGGAGAGAACAAGAAGGGTGTTTATTCGCCTGATCCCTTGACCCGTATCTGCTTGAGGAGTTGGCTAGTGCGAGTATTGCCAGTGTCAATGGTTGCTCAGCTGTTGCGTCATGGTCCTCGACGTTTCGCTACGGCGCTGTTCTCCGACGCAAACAACCCTGAAGTAGTCTGGAACGCTAATATGCGTAACCAAATGGTGACGTATATTGAAAAATTCATGGAGTTACATACTGATGACAGCGGAATGTTCTACATTTCGGAGAATGAAGGTTCAGAGCACAAGGCCTGTATCGCTTTGATCCAGTACCCGAAGGAAGTTCACGCACTACAGTGCTACCAGTACTACTTGCACAACCTTCTTGACGAGAAGAATTTTCCTGGGTGGCCTATCAATGACGAGGTTGCTTTTTTGCATGCTCTTCTCGACTCCGTCCACCGTTGGGTACACCCAGAGTTGTTGCTAACTGCTCGTGGTGCAACAGCCACTAAAGGTCAATCCACAAAACTTCTCTCTGTGTTCGATGCAGTTGAGTTGCTCGATGCCATCGCGTTGCTACTACGCCGTTTTCCTGACTCGCCATCCGTCACGATTCTACAAAACTTTTCGTATTTCTTGGAGGCCCTGGATCGATGCACCTTGGAATTGAAAGACAACCGTGTTGGCAAAACGACAAGAACGGTGTATGATGTGTCCAACACCATCACGAGTAAAACTGCTTTTGTGAAGGCATTTGGAAGTGCGATTCGTGTAATTAATTTGGCGGTCAGTATTTCAGACGAAAATGCCCATCAGTGTAGTTCTGGACTGGGTCTTCGAGTGCTTTGCAGCTCGCTTCAGTTGCTTTTCCACAATGATGAGGCACTGAGTTCTGTTGACGGATGCGCGCCGAGCGTGATGACACATTGGGTGTTAGAAGCACTTGTGAACGTTCTGAACCAGCCAAGTGGACGTGTATCGGCTGCCGCACAGTCAATTGATTTGCTACCTTGTTTGACACGTTTCCTTTCGCAAGAAAATGATCGGTTGGCTACAGATTTATCTCTCCAAATCGTGTATGAAATGTCTGGAAGCTCGGGAGAAATAGCTGAAGTCCTTTTGCTGCAGCTTGCTGAACACGGGATTTTGTGGTATTTGACACTCCTGTTGTTCCATTACCAGCTGAATCATGATGACAGCGACGGGGATATGCAGCGTATTAGCATCGGCGCAGCGAAGGCTCTGGGCAAAATCTTGGAAGCCAACGCAAGAGAGGAGTCAATCGCTGTATATGTCACGAAAATGCAGACTACAATCGAACAAATTTTTACACGTCCGCTGGTAGACATTTTACGACGAGCGGGACCTATCAAAATGCTAGACGTATTTATGAGTGAGGTTCGCGAGCCGCACGTGATGTGGACTGATCGTATGCGGAAAGAGTTGATTAGTCTTGCTCAGCGTGCAATTCAGTTTCATACAAAGATGGATCAAAGCGACGGGGAAGTGCGCAAAGTGTTTGAACTACCGCCGTACTTTATGTTCGCGGCGCAAAAAGAAGAGCTATGCGTGGCTGGCATCTACGTCAATTTCTTCAACGAAAATCCGAAGAATGGCCTTCTTGCTCAGATTGCTGGAACCGTGAACAGCAATGGAAGTCGTGCCGACTTGTTCAGGTCGAAGCCAACGACGAGGAAAGAAATCCAAGCTGCCGCTGCAGCGGCCGCGGAGCTGGAAAACCGCACAGTAAGTGGACATGTGATGCACGGTCTACTGGCAGCGCTATCATACGACATATCGGGTGTGCGCGCGCAACCCCAGACACTAGAGAGTATTTTACTTCAGCGCTTGCTTCCAGTGGCAACGGCTATTAGAAACCTGCTGCAGTATACGCCTGACATGGATGTGCAGATTGTCCAGGCAGACGGCTTGGTGACGCTCTTGTTTGTACTAGACCACGAAACACAACCGCAGGGATTCTCATTTACGAATGCGCCACTGCTGCAACTTCGCTGCATTGAATGCATGCACATGCTATCATTTAGTGGCAAATGCGTCGACCCATTGGCTACCGTAGTTCCTCCTTTCATCAAAAGCGCATTCCAAGTCGTGTACAAGAACCTTGCCCGCACCGAGGCTTCGACTGAGGGTCAGTTGGCTCGTATAACGCTGCAGTTGCTTGGTAATCTGTGCCTTATCCCAGCCTGCATCGATAACCTCGTGAAAGGAATGGACCCCACTAGCCTATCAAACCTGTTGCCGCACGTGTGGTTGGGAGACTCGATGACAATACAGCTTCTCTTGTGCTTGCACATGATTCCTCTCAAGCGGCACACCCAAGCTGCCACCGAGTTTGCAAAGGCTGCAGTGAGCTCGCAACTTGCAGCAGCACTTCTTAATCTGCTTTCTACGCTTGCGCCTCGATCGAAGATGGGAGAAAGCACAGCAACTAAACAGTATGCTGCGCGTTTTCTTTCAGTGCTATCATCTAATCCAGGAAGCGGTGGTGCTATCTCGAGCTTGCTTATTGCATCCCGCGTCTGGGAAACCCATGGTGACACTACTCAGGCGACGTCCGAAGACCTCCGCCGTTTGCTTGTGCCCCCGTACGCACCCGCGTTGCTAAAGGCACCCCACGCAAATCCCAACAAGGTTGGATAAAGGCGTTTAAATGTGCGAATAAACTAACATAATCATCTATCAAAGCGCTTTGGTAGCAAAGAAATGTTACGTGTCTTATGACGCGTAACTTCTACTTCGTTTCCTCCGGCCTCAACCCAGCATCAAATAATTCCAAAATCTCGTTCTGAATTTTCACTGCATTGTCCTCGTTTCCACTTGAGCGATAGGCCTCCGCAAGATTATGACGCGCCATGATAGTCTCATTGTGCGCCGGACCAAGCACCTGCTTTCGCACATTCAGCACGTCTTCATACAAATTAATGGCCTCGTCGTACTCGTGCGCCTCCTTCTTCGCGTACGCAAGGTTGTTCTTTACCAGTGCCGTAAGTAAACTCTTGGGTCCCACTTTCTTGTCTAATATCTCAACAGCCTCCTTTAGCGCTGCAAACGCTTTCTCTGGCTGCTTGTTTTGCCAGTGTATGACGCCCACATTGCTCATGCTGAGACCAATGTCGGGATGTCCGGGCTCGAGGATACGTTGACGAATCTTGAGCGACTCCTCAAAGCACTCAAGCGCACGGTGCAGCGCATCCACGCGCTCCATACCAGCAGTGGATATCGCCAGCGCACGATACACCAGCCCCAAATTGTAGAGAGCTGTTGCAAAGGACGCGTGCTGTTCGCCTACGCTGGCCTTGTACGTCTGGAGCGCAAATTCATAGGCCTCTATAGCCTCCTCCATCTGACCTAGATTCTTGTACATAAGGGCAATATTGGTCACTGTGCTTGCGTAAACAGGGTGGTTTTCTCCAAAGTGTGCTTGAACCAAGTCTCGACACTTTAATCCAGCATTCAAAGCGGCTTGATAATTCCCCGAGCTGAAAATTCATAATATCATAACTAACGTTAGAAACATCTCTATCCAAGGGTTAAACCACATATCGACAGATCTTGTTATATATTGCTATCAGTGCAATAGCACGCACTTATACGCATCACGAATCTCACGCTGCATGACGGCGATGTCCTGTTCCACTTGTACGTAGCTCGTCAGTGGTTTATTATGCAGCACTTGCACAGGTCGTTTAGTCGAATCAATAGTAGAGAAGAAGCTAAAACGATATGAAATTTCATTGCTAGCTATTTGTCGATAGAATCGAGTCAACGAACGACGGCGCAGCGCAGCGGACGACGTTAACAGGACACAGCGGTAGACCATGAGCGGGTTAGTAAATTGATGTTAGAAATGAATAATAGAAATGTCGAAAATATAGAAATAGGATATGAATTCAAGTTAGGATGAATGGCCTGAAACGAGGCTGTTACGAATTGAATAGATTTATGACAAATATTTATAAGTTCTTAGAGTAAAAGGCTTGGCAATATTTTCGGTTTGTATTAATTAAACACAAGTCGCTGTGGGAATTTATTTGAAATAAATTACATCGTCTGCAACATGTTGATGCGACTGGGACGACATCACTGCTCTCGTCCGCTGCTTACAGCACGTTACATTACGCCAAGATTCTTTGCTAATGTACGCCGCTTGTCTAATATCACTACCAATCCAGATCTGAAGCCTCGCGCCCCCATTCGTCCCACGAAGCAGATGGTAGTCACAGAGCTCAAAGAAGTGGGCAAACTCATGTTTGGTGGCTTAGCAATCGTAACGGTTCTTATTGTATCGGGAGGGTTCGTAATTGAAACAGTCAAGACTTTAAACCCTATGAAGCCTCCAGGGTTCATGGTACAAGTCGTTGGACCGGACGGAGAGCCAACTAAAGTCCACGTACAGCGTCAAGGTGCTGGAGACGTGACGGTTCTACTTGACGGGGGCGTGGGGGAGACATCATTTGACTGGGATAAAGTAGCAACACAAGTGGCCAATTTTGCAACTGTCGTGAGCGTGGATCGACCAGGACTGGGCTTCTCCAAGCCTGGAGCTATTCCGCGAACCTCTGCGCAGATTGTCAACGAATACAAGCAAATTTTTGAGAAATTGAACGTGACGGGAGATGTGGTGCTAGTGGCTCATGGAGCAGGAGGGTATAATATGAGACAATTGGCGGAAGAGCTGAAGTTGGCACCTGGAAATAGCCCCACCTGTGGAGGACTAGTGCTGGTCGACGCCTTGCACGGTCAGTTAATTTGTTGCGTGCAATTGTTTTAGTATTCATTAACTGGTTAATGTAGAAAACTTGCGCGGCAAACTGGAGCACGTTTCAGAGGTTGTGCATGAATCGCTGTCGGAAATGGACAGCAATGGCGAGACGGTGTTGCGACTTGCGCGCGTAGGGCTTATCCGACTCATTAACGTCGTGCAATATTCTAAGTTGGAGGCGATGTATTCTGCTGCTGCGTTGCCGTACGTTCAGTACTATGCGCCGTCACCAGCTCACCGCGAAGGCGTATTACATGAGACTCAGGCCATCCCGGAGACGGAGCAGCGCTTCCAGGACATTGCGTCCAGCACGACGCCTTTTGAGTTCCCATGCGTTGTGCTTTCACACGGGAAAGCTGGTATGTTTGACAGCATAAAGATGCAAAAGGGTGTTACTGCACACACTTTGGCAGAATTGGAGCGCATATGGCTGGACGCTCAGACTAAGCTAGCAAACCTAGTTAGTAATCGGACTGTACATCTCGTGGTAAATGACGCCGGTCACTGTATTCACCACGAAAAGCCGGAAGTGGTCGCAAAGGCTGTTCGTGCCTTGGTTGATGAGATCCATGGTGATGTTGATGAGCACCGCGGTCTGATGTCGCTCGCGAAGGACGCGTAGTATTTGCAAATTGGTGCATGATATTGGAAGGAAATAGACACCGGTTCGAAAGTGGCTTGTTCAACAAACGGATTCGTTCTGAGAGGAAAAGCTATAGCTCTGTATTGTATCATCAATAAGTCTACATCGGGAGCATACTAAGACGTTGGTAGTCATTGCTCGAGTTTTAAAGACACGTACGAAGAGGCTGAAAACCTAACAACGCTTGTCATCGGATGACTAGCGCAGATAGGAAATCATTGCGCTACCACCAATTAGATGTATATTTGATAACTTCTCTTTATGTGCACCAGCGATATGATCCTAATCCAATGTTTTTTGAACGAACAAACTTACGTATTCAGCTTATTACACGTGCTGAGCGCCGATCGTCAGCCAAGTTCTAGTTCTATTTTCTTGTGATGCACAGAATGAACGATAAACATTACCGCTAAGGTACCTTATTCTACCTGTTTGTGTGTGGGTACATCGTAAGAATGCGCTGTGATCTCAGCGATAAGCAAAGTTGGACGAAGCTTGGATACCGTGGAGTACGCAAGATGCCGCAAACATTAACAAAAGAAAAACGTGGAAGATTGAATGTACACTCTAGAAATGATAGTTCTAGTTCCTGATCTAGGACTGCAACAGCATTGCTGCTTTTTCATCTTCATTACATGTCATTTCCAATCAACATTAAATAATGTGTCTTGGCAGATTATCTATGATTTTCGCAGTCGTTGCACTATTGCTCTGCTATACTGAAGCATGGAACAGCACTGTGACGTTGCACCTACATGCGCGATTCCAAGGGTTGGAGTATGCGTGGAAAGTAACCGAAACACAACTGTGCTATAATCTTGCGTGCTTTAACAACCAGGTATTGTCCGTCAAATGGGACGGACTTCCTGAACCGGAAGCTTTGACGGGTACTCGCGCATTGCATTTTTCACGGGAAGAGACTGCACTCGAGACAGTCGCGAGTGGCCAACCGATGCAGTCATTAGCAGCAAGGACAATAACAGAAGGACTTTATTTACACTTGATGACATCAACGATGTAGTTTCGTTTTTCATTATCTGGGAAGAAACAAGAAGATGACAACGGAAGAGAAAGGCTTTGCTCTTGGAGTGATGAGTATGTGGCAATTGTTATTAGTTAACGTAATAGAGCATAGGACTGCAACTGCTTTATCGAAGCTAGAGAAAATAAGAGCATCAAGTCACCACATTTCTTCGGTATGGGTTATACAGAAAACAAACTAGTAAAAGTGGAATTCCATGAAAGTGTAAATCAAGCTCTTACTATGAATATAGTGCTTGCACTGGTCATGTGGTCGCCAACTTTGTTTATCTTCATTGCATGGACGCATTGCCGACATGATGTCCACTAGGGACACACATGCATTCAAAACCGATTCAATTTATAAACGCCTTAACGCAGCTACGTAACTTAGCGAGGTGCTACCTATTTATTGCTGCTTCGGATGCCAGGAGAGACGAATCGACAGCTGGCAAAAACTGCGCCGTCGGGGAATCAAACCCCGACCTCATCCTTGGAAGGGATGAATCCTAACCATTAGACCAACGGCGTGTCCAACTTGACTCAACAACTTATCACATCAAAACATCAAATACGTACGTACAGCAACTCAACCACACTCTACACAACTACAAATACACACAATATGCAATACAACAAATCTCAAGCACTAGCACACACTCACAGGAGCACGAGTACTCCAAAACACTTGCAAACTCATATCACGGTGTCCGAACAAGCTTGAATGCGACACGATCCCACGTGAGAATACAATATCAACAGCCTTGCAAGTAGGCAATCTTGCGCCTCGACATCGAATCATTGGTGAGAAGTTAGCTCTACGTAAAGCTGCGTGTCTTCCACGTGATATCAAAACAGTCGTTACCAGTTTTCACACGTGGCGTCACCTTGTGATCCCGAGATGATCTGCGTGGTGTGCATGAAAGATTTTCCGTGCGTCTGTGCGGTCTATTTTGCGTCTTCTACAGCTCTTGAAGCCCTACAGCTTTTAGAAAAAAAGAGGTGCAAATGAAAGAAGACAATAAGTGACAGAACGTGTTGGAGCAGTAGAAGGGGTCCGAAGCAACAAATAGGTTCCGAAGCAACACGTCCCTAACTCAGCCATCCATGTCATTCCCTAGGCTATATTTTGACGAAGAAGTGCGCCGTCGGGGAATCGAACCCCGAACCGTGGGAGGGATGAATCCTAACCATTAGACCAACGGCGCATCGATCAATCAAAAGCCTTCTTTTGACAAAATCAACGCCCACAAACACCACAAATACAACACAATGGTTTGAAATTGCACCTACCGTGCATGCAGTACGTCAGCGTGTCCAAAAGAAGCGGCGCATCACGCATCACTCTCTCAACTGCTCCAGCTACACGTGGTGTACAGGCAAGCACATGGTAGTAAATAGCAATGCAGTAATGTTTGCACTCGGTCTGCTTTACCACGGAGCTAGATGACACCGAGGAGGTCTCCATATGATCTCCGTATGACATCGGATCTGCATCTCCATATGATCGTCACATGGGTAACGAACGCCTGGATGAAGTAAGGTATGCGACGGCTAATAAAACATGCAACTTTGGCTTGTGACCTGAACGAGAAAAACTCGCCAGTTTGTTTTCTTGTCATTCTCTCTATTGCGTATCTTGTCCCAAATTCATTGCCAAACATTCATTAACTTTGCTACGTTTATGAAGTGATATGGTCTCGTGGAGTAAACCGCGGCCAATAGCAAGTCTCATATTGCGTTTATACGGGAAACGGTTGCGCAGGAGTGGTACACCATTGGGAATCAAGAGTCTTGACTGCTTTCTGGAAAGTTTTACCCGGACGGCATCAATAACGTTTCTTCACTCAACTCAACAAGGAAAACGCGGAGAATGACGGACGCGCTGGAGTTTGTCGGACATCTGGAACATTACGTCGTCATGACATGTACATCTTCAAGCAGCGCTTGGACTTAGGCCACAACGAGTCCTCGCATCTGTGTCAATGAGTTCAAGTTGAAAACAACAGGTTTTGTATTGCTCGAAAGGTACGTCGAGTAGGGAGGGACTAACGGCACGTGACGACGGTCTATTCAGCAGCGCGCAGGTTCTTAAGCTGTGGACTGGAGGAATAAAGGTGGTGTCACGCTCATTAAAAGTCAGGGTCAGCAGCTCATGCTGGGTTTTTCGACTATTGAAGTCGTCAAGGGAGACACTTTCGTGTCAAGTAGGAAACTTCTAGGCTTATCGAGTTAGAGCTTGTCGGAGCAGTAACTTGTAGACTGCGAGGACAATGGAAACATGCACTGCAATAAAAGCCTCATCAACAAAAATGATCAGGAAGTTCTTTGCAGCGACGTGGGCTGCGATGTACATGGCCTAGCGGTATGTGTCCATTCGTCAAGCACGACAAAAGTAGAGCCATTAACACGTCAGGCAATTAATTGTACGCGTCGTAAACCAGTAACAAAAAGGCAATCAACATTTATTGATCCATTCTGTGCGTTTCACATTGCTCGCAACAGCCAGTTTGCTTACATCTTACGATAAGCCATCGCGCTGCCCATTGGAATGTAAAATTTTCGATTGCCAGCGTCGCTGGATCCTTGTGGCCAACTCCATCGTTCCCTCATCTGTCGACAAGATTTCAGCTTTGATGCGTCCTCATGCCACATCCCAGTGCTCGTCGGCATCATCCGTATCCTGAAACGTTATCTTCACCACTTCGAAATACGTGCGCCAGACCTTTCCATTTCAGTTGGCTGGAACACCATCCTTCGTATATAACTCTGTCTCCGTCGTTTTCGGGCTATTTGGGCTCATAACCCTTTTGTAAACAGAACCAGCTTCCGTCCGCAACGTAGTATTTGAAACTGTCGTTTATTATCGTTCTTATAAGTCCTACCTTCCTACTACATGTCTGTTCTGTCGCCTCCCACAGCAACCTACCTCTGGAACTTCACAGTCCGCTTTTTCCCATACTGGGACTTCACATGCGTTAACATGTCTAGAAGCATCCTTAAGACAACACAACTACGTCTTTCAAGTGCTTCTTTACTCATCGTTCTCGCAAATTGACGTACTGTTAACGCAAAAAGAACTCGGTGACATCTCCGGGCGATGGCCAAAGTCATAGGTCCCGTCCGAGTCTTCCTCTACACTGTCTTCGTCACCTATGAAATGAAAAGAACTGAGCGTATTCGTGCTTGAATCGTTTGGCAAGACGATCTATTGTTATTGGATCTCTGTAAACCACGCCTTCGCTCAGTTGGTAAGTGATGGAAGTATGGAAATAATGATCAGTAACATACTCAGCTCTTCACTATTGCAAGTAAGTTCCAACAAGAAAAGAATCATATTTGCAGCATACATTATTATTGTAAGGACATCACATATATACTAGATAGACGTGTCATGCTAATGCAAATAATGACAACGTAAAAGAATAGAAAGCGGTTTTTTTCGCTCTGTAACGTTTGGAAATATAATGACATGGACGCCACCTTGTAACACTTAGAAATTGTACCTCATGACCTCGTTTGAAAGGCGGAGAGACAGTCCCGATAGGACACGGATGCCGATAATTTTTGTCTCGTTTGAAGAAATGATTTGCAATTCTTTGTGATTGGCATCACTAGAAATCAATATCAAGACTCCAATGTCCGCAGACGACGTCACCACCCTTGCTCGATTCGGGATGCTGCCCTTAACAGACAGTGTTAGACGATACCCAAAAGTGCTGGTAAGAGTTTATGAAGAAGGAGTGTAGCATTGGCTTCGATCACCATACTCATCTCCCGTTTTTAATCTGATGGGGTTGTGACTAAACGCAATGACACTGCTCGCCTCATGCTCTTCGGACCAGAACGTGTCCGACAGTGTTAAATTCGTCGTTCCCCAACTGATCCTTCGAAGGTGCTAGAACTCGCTAGACAAGTCATGACGCAGGCAAACCAAATATGTCGGTGTCCAGGAGCATCCATTTTCATCTGTCACTTCTCCTGGATGTGATCCAAGAAGATTACATGGGGGGTCAAGTCTCTGTGTATAACGCACCAACGTCATATTTGACTGATGCAAGTTTCGCGGATGTGGGCAAGCTCACATCACTATTTACGGTCAAAAGGACCGGCTTTCACTGACAAATCATACTAGTGTCTTGTTTGCTAGCGGAGATGACAAATGCAAGCGGAAAGCTTGGGTTCGATGCAAACAGGCGAGTGTGACCTTTGATGGCGTCGTAGCTGTCGTTATGCTACTCGCGTTGTATCGCGTACTTAATAACAAGGAACAATGCCTCAGAAACGCACACGCTGCCCATACATCACGTCCGATGTCGAAGTTGTTGATGTCGTTTGAGAAGCACCGCTTGTTCACAGCTTTGTCTGTCTGACAAAGAAAGACGACGCAGTTTGTTGTTCGCAAACAATGACCATCAATCGGAAATAAATTATCGTCATGGACGCAAGTACTTTAGTAAAAATCGTACAAGTGCTGTTAAGTCTAACTGTGCTTCTGTATGGCGCAATACTGCAGTTACTTGCTATCGATATCTCTCCATTTACGCTGCCAGGCGTTGTCCATATCAAATCTTGCAATCCAATTAAAATGCAAAATCAAATAGTCAGATGCTGTGGGGTAAATCTTCAGATCAGTTTTTGTCTCTCCTGTTTTAACCTACGCTGATCGGTAGCCCATCCAGCAACTGACGAGCTTGATTCAAGCATATGATAACGTACCGTATCTCCAGCGTCTCCAGCAGTTCGCGGCATAGATTCTCACTTCTCATTCAAAACTTGGTCCTCACTGCACACTCTCAACCACATCTACTGAATGAATCATGCGCCTCCCGTCCACCCTCATGTGTGGGGCTCTTGCCGCAAGCCTGTTGAATGTTGGTACTTGTGTAGCAACATCAGATGTCGTCGGGTCAGCTCGCTCACCTCCCGCTGATCGAGCTGGAGCCTCCACCACGAGGCGCATAAAAGGACAGAAGCCCTTACGGGACAGTGAAGACGAGAGGGTTTCTCTTGATGTGTCGAAGTCGGTCAGCAAAGAACAGAGGGGCTTAAACCTTGCCGGAGTCGGCAGTTGAGTCGCTTACAACTTGGGTACGAGCCCGCACCTCATCGCAGAGGAGACACCAATAATCAATACTCGACTGTACCATGATGTCGAGGCCTTATAAATAACATTTCTAGAGAACCCTACCCTCGAAAAATTTAATAGCTTTATTAATTTGATCGAGTCATCACCCTCTGGCATCCAAACTACGCTCCCGGAGAAGTTTGCAGCCAAGTATACGTATACAGAGCTGCTTGAAACCATTGCAGCTGGGAGAAAGGTTCGTGCTGCTGACAAAACGGTCCTTAGTGCCATTGCAGCTGTTGTTTGAAGACAACTTGATGACCTGGAGTTGTGGTTACAGAAAAATTATCTAAAAGAAGCTTGGAAGTATCATATGCGCAAAAGAGTGATCCAATTAATTAAGAGAGCACTAATGCGTTGGCAGAAATGGATGGAGTACGTTACATTCTACAACAAGGAGTACCCTGATCGTGCAGTCACCATTGATAAATCTCTTATGAAGTACTATAAAGACGAAAGACTTGGCAGCCAGATCGTGAATCGTTTTCAACTTAAAAAGCGCGCAGAACCGAACGATCAACAAAAGAAGTGGCTGAAATCCAAGCTACATCCTGACGAAGTCTATTGCATGGACAAACTTGACAAACCAATCGTCTCGATTATCAACGACGATCGGACTGTAGATGACTGGTTCTTAACAGCAGAAACCTTCAACGCAAAATACCTCCATATGCGCGCAACAATTCGCGAATTTCTATCGCATGATGATGAAATATTGCTCAATATGGTGTTCTATAATGTTGAAGCTGTTGAAGATATTAAAGTGGGTACTTTAAACATCACATTTAAACGAGGTGGTTTTGGCATTGCATACCAAATATGGATCTTCTCAAGTCGATATTTACAACGTTCTTGTTCGTAAATGGGGCAAATTCAAAAAGTTCTCGAGCCACAAATGTATGCATGGCTCCCATACGTGGACAGTTGCAATCCACCAGTACCGCCTATGTCGGTATTACTTGAAAAGTACCGAATAGGGGTAGATGCTTGACAAAGCAGAGAGTTCTTCCTCAGTCCTTCGTCTACGAGCAGATTTCAAAATTGCAAAAAAAGCGGAAGAGACAAAGAAGATGAAGAGACGAAAAAATAGAGGAGAAAAGCTGATGGACGGCAATGGTGGAAATGATCAGGAAGCAACGGACATTTCGCTCTCTCTTTCGGCCCTTAAAAAGGCGAAAACTTCATCCTAAAAAATACATGTCTGGCAAATACTTTTGTCAAGGCGTCGATGGTCCCGCGCACAAACAAGTTTTTCCCTCCAACATACTGCACTTTGGGGTAGCGAAGGGTACGTGCTTTCTAAATATAAATACCAATAAAAATTTACATTATTGTTGCCATACATGGCGTACATTCTCATCAATAGGTCAATTGATAAAAATATGCCGCTTTTCTTTGACAACCTGCTCAAGCACGCAACGACTTGAAGCTTTCAGTAACATGCTGCTCTTAGTAAGAAAAATAGTATTTTTTTTACTATTTCATAGTAATTACCTATTCTTGACCTTGGCCGTTGCCACTAGTAACAATCTGACATCACGCAGCACCACAGCATTAGTTAAAGAATGTAGTCATGCTTAGAGTGACGCAAACGTCTCTATCATGAAGGCTTGGCCTTGTGGCATGCGCGTGTAACGATTAGGTGTGTGTTTTACATACACCTGCGACACCAATGTGGTGTAGCTGTCTGTACCTTGGGTACAAAAGTAGGTGATGTGACCGTACCTAAAGTACGAAGGGTCGCATCGTGGCAGAGAGCCACGTGGTCACTACACTTATTTACGTATACTGACTATGCCTGTTTGCATAATAATAATGGGCTATAGAGCCAGTAAATAGTGACTAGCACTAAGTATAGAGCAGGCGCTTCTATATTTAGTGCTAGAAGATACACATGAATATAAATCAGTTTCAAACCTGCTCTACAAGCATCAGTGCTTAAGCGTTCTCTTCCATTAGAAGGAATCAATATCTTTGATACTAGTAACTTTGAGACCCGGATGTAGCAACCGATAGACACGAGCTTACGAGCTAGCCTAGGAAGAGTTAAGCACCCATAGACGTAAAAGCTCTCTGAGCTTGTCTTCTCTGCACATAGTGCATAAGTAGCTTGGCTACAATAGCTCGGCTACACCTGGTAGCACTTGTAGTCAATACGCACCTGGGTTTGCTACTACTTCTGTGTGTGAGAATGGACATCGACAAGATGTCGCGATCTTTATGAAGGGCCTCAGAGCTGGCGTTACCAGAATTGAAGTCTTCCAGGCAAACCCGTCCTCGTTCAAGGAAGCTGTTGGTGTGGCATGGAATGCCGAGACCAACTTTTAGGCCGCTAGGCCTCCCGCTTATAACTACTCGTCTGATGGATATGTACCCATGGACTGTAGTCAAGTGGAGGATGTAGAAGCTGAGCTTTAAGCTGCGGAGCAGCAATTGTGCGCAGATGGTATATCTGCAAGAGAACAGGCCATTTGATGGCAAAATGTCCTACAAGAAAGGCATATTTGGCCTTGAAGGGCCGACGCCCCATGGGCAAACCTTCTGGTTTGCCGCGGTGAAACGGCGCGGGGCGCCTTACTGAGGAAGAACTGAGTTCTGTTGAGCCTCTAGGAGGTAGAAGTAAACAGGGCTTAGCCCCAAAGAGATCCGAACTCTCAAAAACGGAACAAGAATGCAAGCCAGTCTTGCTTATCGTCGAGGGTACGATTAAGGGCTATGATAAGCCATGGATCATTTTTATCAATTCGGGGGCATCGGGCAATTATGTGCGCCGTGCCACCGTGGGAGGTAGTCAGCAGTATGCTGAAGCGCTTTTAGCGCGTGAAAGCGACACAGTCACAGTTCGCTTAGCGACTGGTACGCGTGTTACGGTACCCAAAGTCCCGATGGACTTAAAGGTAAAGATCTTGGACGTTAACAGCATGAAACGCTGTTTGGTCTTAGACCTGGATGCGAGGTATGACCTCATCTTAGCCATGGCATGACTAGAAAGCCATGAGACATGATTGATTGGAGGTCGAAGACCTTACGCGCAACGCGCAATGCACCTGATGGGAATCTGGAGAGTCATGAACCCACTTCTGCTAGGAAGCAAATGTCCTTTTGGCGCGGATATTGGACCGAGTCGGTCAGTATTTTGGATGTCAGAATATCCGACTTTTTTGACACTGTAAGTGTCGAGGACAATAGTCCTGGGCGAGGCCCAATGACTGTCGATAGTGTGGTTGAGAACCCCCCTAGATGGCACATATGACATGTGTCATGAGAATGACGTTGCATCATTAAACACCGTGAGTGGTGTTGGTGGCTGCAAGCCAAGATGTCAGAACATGAGTCCAAGTGACATGGGGGACGAGGAACTGACCCTGGAGGGCCGGGTGAAGTTACAAATGGGTGTTATCTTTAAGGATAACGAGGTGCAACCACCTAGTGACGAGGTACTGGCCCAAGAGGGTCGGGTGAAGTCAAAAATGACGGTTAGCTTTGAGGACAACGAGTTATATGCACCTAGTGACGAGGTACTGGCCCAAAAGGGTCGGTTGAAGTCAAGAATGACGATTGTTTGTAATAACAACGAGGTGCAATCACCTCATGACGAGGCATTGACCGAAGAGGGTGGGGTGAAGTCAGTAAGCTAAGTGGTCTTTAGCCTTGAAGTGTGTACACGTGTGGACGCTTATGCATCGGATGCTGAGAGCATTATGAGTAGCGATGACACTATCGTGAGTGACGGTGATAGCGAACAGCTATATACACTCGTCAATGTTTTGTCTAGGTATGTTGAAGAGCCGGTGGATCTTTCAGCTATGCTTGCAGTAATTGCTCGGCTAGAGCTGGACGAGTTGTACTTTGCCGAGTTTGCATTGTCTTACAGGCAGGCGACATCGCCGAAGTGGTTGTTATACGACCTGAGAAGGAGTTGAACTCCTCATCGCTTTTGGATAAAGCAGTTCTTGAGGATACCAAGAAGGCTCTGAATGCGTGTAGTGGATCGCAGATCCTGAAGGGTCCATCTGATCCTTATTTTCCTTTGTTGAAGGAATATGGTGATGTTGTCTCCAACGAACCTCCTACGAGGTTGCCTCCGGATAGAGGTGTACGTCATGAGATTGACTTGGTTCCAGGAACCACATATTGTGTGACGCGACAGTGGCCGCTGCCACGAGAACAATGTGACGTCATTGACGAGTTCTTTCGTGCGAAGCATGCGGCTAGCATGGTGCGTGAGAGTAAGTCTCCTCACTCTACGCCCACGTTTTGTGAAGGCCTAATGGGAAGTGGCGAATAGTACATGCTTACAGTAAGCTAAATGCAGCCACTATCGCGGCTCAAACACCGATTCATCGCAAGGATGTTCTTCAGAACAATATGGAGGGATGTACGATGTTTAGTGCCGTCGACTTAGTCGATGGATATTACCAACTGCTCATGCAAGCTAGTGATATCCCGCTGACAGCGGTCAGTACTCCGAGCGGTATGCTCTGGGAGTGGTTAGTGATGTCCCAAGGGCTGTCTAACGCACCTGCAACGTTTAATCGTCTAGTGACGCAGTTGTTTCGGCCCCATAGGGAGTATGCACAGACATACTTTGACGATATGTTCGTCCATAGTCGAGCCGAAAAATGGCAAGACTGATGTGGAGAACCACATTGAACACCTGCGAGCTGTGCTCGGTTGTATGAGGATGCATAAGTTATATGCCAATATTGACAAATGCATCTTCGATGCGGAAGAAATTTCCTTTTTTGGAATGCTTCATTGGGAAGCGAGAAATCCGGGAAGACCCTGTCAAGGTCAAAGCCATAGTGAATTGGTCGGTTCCGAGAAACCAGATGGACCTCCGCTAGTGGCTGGGATTGGCAAACTACATGCATAAGTATAGCTACAACTATGTGGGAGTGTCTAAACCATTATCGAATATCCTTGAAAAAGGATGTAGAATGGTGTTGGAACACCGAGCACCACGAGGCTTTTGAAGCCATTACGGAGAGTCTCCTTCAGGCGCCAATTCTGGCTCTGCCTGATCCTGATCGCCCGTTTAGCGTCGTATGTGACGCTTCGGACTTTGCCATTGAAATTACACTTTTGCAAGCTGATTCTGAGGGTCGAGAACGCGTCATCGCATTTGAGTTTTGCCAGCTGAAATCTGCGGAGAAGAACTATCCAGTTCATGACAAGTAGCTACTTGCGATGAAGTACGCTTTGGTTAAGTTCAGGGTACACTTGTTGAGATCAAAGCCATTTGTGATCTATACCGATCATGCGTCATTGCGCACAGCAACACAGTCGCCTCATCTCTCGCAGAGAATGGCTCGTTGGCTCTCCTTTTTCGCGGAGTATAACTTCGAGGTGAAGTATAAGCCGGGCAAACAGAATGTTTTGGCTGACGCGTTATCGCGTAGAGCTGACTATGAGCTTGCTCATTTCACTGTTGTGAGTTCGTCAGTAACAGATCGTATCCGTCTGTCGTATGCACGCGATGAGGCATGTGTGCCATTATGCAGGCGCTGGATAGCGCAGAGTTTGAAAACTCTAAGGTGAAGCTGTCACCACGTAATCATGTCAGATTACATCGTTATGCACTGACCGATGGTCTGTTGTACTATAGTACAGGGTCGGATGACCAGACTCATGTTGCGGTGCCTCATGATGAGAACCTCAAGTATCAGATACTTTACGAGGCTCATGATACGCTACTTGGTGGTCATTTAGGTCGTGAAAAGACCTGCATCTCAGTGAGCTCGCTTTATTGGTGGACCAAGTTGTATAAATGGGTTGGTACATATGTACGCATGTGTGAAACGTGTCAAAGGGTGAAGCCTTTGCCTAGTATGGCTGCGCCTTTGGTGGGTTTGACTGTAC